CTATCTGATCCAAGCCATGGTCTTTCTGATCGCCTCACCGGTGTGCAGAAGTCGGATAATGGAAAAGGGAGATGAGAGAACTGGTGTACTCGAACTGTGTGTCGGCGAAGACTATTGAATATACCGTGGGCTGCCGTAAGGATGAACAAATCGTCTCGGAGGAAACACCACCAGAAAGCTCCTTAGAGGTGAGGATGGTGAGACTTCCACCTTACTTTGGACACATCAACACAAAAGACCAATTGCTAGAAAAAGACATCATGTTTGGCCAAGGGGAAAATGAAGGACATCTTCAAGAGATGGAAGGACTCAACCGCTGCGGCAGGGACTCAAATATGCCAATGATCATGCAGGTGGCCCAGGACCAGGAAGGTTTTGTTGTTAGACTAAGGTCGTCATGAGTTGCATTTTATTTGGTGTTGCAAGGTGCCAACAGTCAGTGCCGACAGAAGGAAACACTGCCTCATCCTGCGCCACCCTCACAATCATTGCTACGCTGGAGCCCATCACCGCAGCCACGGTGTCAGTCCATCTCACTAAGGATCCTTCTTTCTCTGTTTCGCTGACCCTGCACTTTACCAAGCATGACGTCCCTTCGACTTGGAGCCACCTGGTGCCAACTAACTGCAACAAAGAATGAGTAATAATCGCACCTGCTCACCGGTTGCTATGAGGATTGAATGAATTAACATAGTCAGCATGCTTAGAACTCTACCTGGCGGGAGGTGAGTGCTACCATAAGCGTTTGCTGTTACTGTTTATTGAGCACTGACTGTAAGCCAGACACCGGGCTTAGCACTGGAGACAGAGGGGAACGAGGCAGGCCTTGACCTTGTCCTTGTACAGCTTAGGCTAGCGGGGAGGCAGGACAGAAGAGCATTCATTTTTCTTTAGACAGAGTTTATTGAGCACCTACTGGGTGCCAGAATTCTAGTAACTGGGAATTGCGTAGTGAACAAGACAGGCAAGATTCTCTGCCCCCTTGGGACTTACTTTAAATGATTGTGGGAAAAGGCAGATTTTAAACAAAATCTATTATTTGCATGTTAAATGTATCTATCTGGTTATAAAACATACTATCTTCTATTGAACTATATATATCTTTATTTGTACCCAATATCTCACTGCTTAGCATAAATAAAGACCTATAGTATCTTTTGTGGGAGCTCTGGTAGTGTAGTGCCTAAGGCATTTGACCGCTAACCAGAAGGCTGGAGGTTCAAACCCACCAGCCACTCCTGGGAAGGAAGATGGGGCAATCCACTTCCATAGTGATAACTGCCTCGGAAACCCAAGGAGGGGTCGCTATGAGTTGGGTCCAACTACACAGCACGTAACAACAACAACAACAACAACAAGAAGTATCTTTTGTAGATAGGCAGGACGGAAGGAGGGAAAACAGGTAAACGGAGGGTTGTTAGCTGTCATTGCATTGATCCCTTGGCTTATGTTGACCCCACACACAATGGAATGATCCAGACCACTGTGACCCACAGCGTTGTCAGTAGCCGATTTTTGGAAGGAAAAAAACAGGCCTTTCGTCCTAGTCTCTCTTAGTCTGGACATTCCACTGAAACATGTTCAGCATCAGCATCACAGCAAACACAAACCTCCACTGACAGACAGATGGTGGTTGAGCAAGAAGTGCACAGGCCGGGAATCGAACCCAGGTCTCCCACGTGGAAGGTGGGAACTCTACCGCTCAACTACCACTGTCCCCAGTACACACGTAAATAGAATGTTGTTGTTGTTGTTGTTGTTGTTATGTGCCATCGAGTTGGCCCCGACTCATAGCGACCCCTCCTTGGGTTTCCAAGGCAGTATCACTATGGAA